AAATCATTGTTGCACTAGATGCTAACTAATTTGGAAGTAAATTTGAAAAAATAAAAAATAAAACAAGTTAATTAAAAAAAAAAAGATCTCTTCAAGTTTCATCTAATGGCTGCATAATATTCCATCAATGGATATCGTAGTTTACCTAACCAATCTCCAACTGTTGGACAATTGTTTTGGGTTCTTTTTTTTTTTCTTTTGTAAATCACCCTGCTGAGTTTCTCTCTTATCTCCCTCATGGGAGCCTCAACAAATAAATTTATTTATTTATTTTGAGAGAAAGGGGGAAGAGAGAGAGCAGGAGAGGGGCAGAGAGAGAGGGAGGGGGAGAGAGAGAGAGAGAGAGAGAATCCCTAGCAACCTCTGCACTGTAAGTGCAGAGCCCAATGCAAGGCTCGAACCCAACAAACCATGAGACGGTGACCTAAGTCGAAACCATGTTGGACGCCTAACCGCCTGAGCTGTCCAGGCGCCCCCGTCTGTGTCCTTTCTCGGCCCTACCCAACCTGCTCACCTTTCCAGTACCTGTTCCCTTCACCCTACATCCCTCTTGCCACTCTGCCCACCTGCTCTCAGAAAAGGACCCGGTGTCCTGTCGGCCCGAAGGGTGCCACCGCTCCAGACAAAATTTCTAGTAACTCCCTAATGGTGCATTTCTGGCACCGGGCAAATTGGCCCTCGAACCCTGCCCTGCCCCCCTGTACCTTCATGGGGCCGTAGACCTCAGAGCGGTCGAACATGAGCTTAAAGTAGCTCAGGCTGCTCAGGGCGGCCTGCCAGGGCATGTACTCGGTCTCTCGGATCAGGAAGAGAGTGTTGTTCAGCGCCAGAGTGACGGGGACCTTTTGGGCACTGGGGATAGACACAAGGGCTCAGGTAAGCATCCCCATTAAGCCCAGTCCCCACTGAGGGGGCCCCAACCCCTTCCTGAAACCTGAGAGCCCCAAATGAGCCAGCTCCAACGTTCACTGTAGATGGGCCTGGGGGTAGGTAGGGGTGGGGCCGGGGACGGGGGAGGGATGTGGGACAAGGTCAGCTCAGGCCCTGTCCTCACCCACTGCCAATCACATTCCCCTGCGTATTATCCCCATTTGACAAATGGGAAGCTGAGGCTCAGAGAGGCAAAGTGACTTGCCTAAGGCCACGCAGCCCATAAGAGACAGAGTTGAGATGCATAAGGACAAAAAACCTCTGCTCTTTATTCTGCCCACCTCTTCTCTGATTTGCTCGGCCCCCTGTGCCTTCCTCCCTCCTCCTCCTCAGACCATCTGTGCACCTGTGGTTCATAAATGTCCGTGTCTATGGGTGACATCACCTAAGTCAAAGAGCTTAGCACCTGCTGGGAACACAGTAGGTGCGGAATAAATATTTGTTTATCCATGCTGCCTCTCTCCTGCTCTGTCCTTCCCAGACTTTTTGTAGCATCTGCCATGGCAGGCTGGCACACAGTTAATCCTCAGGAAGAGCCTGGTGCTATAAAGGACACTGTGGTTTTGGAGTTGGCCAGACCTGTGTCTGGCTGTCACGGGCTACAGAGTGACCCCAGGTAAAGCACTCAGTCAAACTCTGAGTCTCGGATTCCTTATCTGGGAAAAGTGGGTTGTAACACTAGCAATCTGCAGGGGTGTGGGGGCCCAGGGAGGGGCGCAGAAAAGCACAGGGAGCCCACAGCAGTGTGCTCGCTGTAGAACAGCACTTGCCCAAGTCACCAGGCCAGGGACAGGCTGGGCCCCAGGAGGAAGGGGGCACTCACCTCGCCAGGTTGAAGGCATCGTGGATGACTTGAGCCCGATTGATGACGGGAATGACCTAGAAGGGGCGACAGAGCGCGTGACCTCAGGCTGCTGCTGGGGGCGGGGCGGGGTGGGGGGGCGGCGGTGGGCAGGGCCAGGGCCTGGGGCAGGGGATGGGGGCTGGCGGCCAACACTCACCGACAGGTCTGTCTGCAGCTGAGTTTGGATCTTCTTCCAGTTTTCATTGTCATAGTTCACCAGGTAGTAGCCCGTCACGTTGAGGTTCAGCAGAACCCAGTCATTAGCTGTGGTCTTGAACAGGTCATTCTGGGCTGCGGGGAGAGATCAGAGCTAGGTGGGGCTGCTCAGAAGGCCACAGGCTGACCCCTGGCCTGTCTTCCTCCAGGCCTCCCACGCAGCCTGGCACCGGCTGGCCCTCAAGCCTCAGGCGATGCCAAGGGAAGGGGGAGGGGAAGGGGCCGAGGTAGGACTGGGCTGCCAGGCCAAACTCTGCCCTCAGAGGGACCAAGTGCCATCTCTGCCCCTCGGTGCCCTTCCTGTCTCCCACAGGCTCCCCGTGGCTGGGCCAGTGACCGCGGCCCGGACTTCTCCATCGGCACAGCCTCAGGACACCCCGACCGACTCCACAGGCTGCCGCCCCTCCTCCCTCCCTCCTCCTCCCCTCTTACCCCCCCCACCCATCACCTAGTGGGAAGCCCAGGCAATGCCCGCCCCCCCCAGTCAGCACCCCCAGTGCTGCCCCTCTCTGCCCTCCCTTCCGGCCTTGCTCCCGGCAGCCAGAGGGGGCCGTCCGCTTGCCACTTCCCGCCTGCCCCAGCTCCTCCTGGCCGGAGGACACAGCCATTGTGTCCTGCAGTCTGCAGGGACCTTGGGAAGCAGCCTTACCTTCGGGGCACACCTCTGCCCTAGCCACAGTCCTTAGTTCTCTCCTGCCTCGCACTTGCTCTTTCTTCTGCCCCCACGAGCCTGGCTAAGTCCTTTTCTTCCTCTAAGACTCAGCTCACCTCCTCCAGGGAGCCTTCCCTCACCTCTCCGTGAAGTTGAAACTTCCTTATTCCTGGCTCCCTGCCCCATGCCCCAGCAGCCTGTACGTGCCTCTGTTAAGGCATCCAACACAGCTCTAGAAAGTTTTAGCTGCTTATCTTCCTTCTCTCCAGCTGCAGTTTTGGCCTCGGCAGGGGACGAATTGCCTTGACCGGATTCCCCAGTACCTGGTGGAGTAGGGCTGTTTATGCTTTGCGCCAGGCACTGTCTTAAACATCTCATGTGGGTTCTCTTCTTTAGTCCCCACACAACTCAACCGGGCCGCTAGCCCCATTTTATAAATGAGGAAATGGGAGACCAGAGAGGAATGGCAACCTGCCCGGGGCCACACAGCTGGGCGGCCGCAGAGTAGAGCTCAGAACCAGAGAGGTGGGCTCCATTTGTTGAATGAGACCATGAAGGAAGGCCATGAGGCCTGGCGGAAACCCCAGGATGTGAGCCTGGAGCTGGGGGTGTGGGGGAGGGGACGGCTGTCCACAAGGGCGGGGCTGGATTACCTTTCTCGACGCCCGGCATCCAGTAGTGAGCCTGCGGGCTGCCGTTTCTGACAGAAGAGATGGGAACGATCCACAGGTAGCTGCAACAAGAGACCCAGATGCCAGGTGATGACAGCCGGCCGCTCTCGGTCACTGCCAGCAAAGAACAGCCCCGCCCAGCCTCCCAGTCTCTGCCCGGCTCCGTCTGGGCACTGAACACGCCCCTCCCCCACCCCCCCATCCGGGGCCAGGTGCTGGGGCTGGGACCACGGCAGGTCAGGACCCACCACGGTCAAGGGACACCACGGCACCTGTCATTCAGAGCCCTCACAGGACGCCTGCCTCAGTGCCCCCTGCTGCTCACTTGAACTGTGAGGGGCGGGTGACCACGGACTGGGGGTCAAGGAGGAAGTGCTGCTGGGAGATGGCGCCTGTCTGCGTGTCCACAGTGATGACGGGGAAGCCCATCTGCAGGATCCAGCGGTCCATGATGGCACTCACGGTGTCGGGCAGCTTGATGGTCTGCTGTTTGTCTACAACCTGGAGCACAGCGAGACGGTGCCCGGCCGTCAGTGGCCCGCCCAGGGCATCCTCGGAAGACCCACCTTGCAGGGAGGCAGGGCCAGCGGAGGAGCCCGGGGTGGGGGTGGGG